AAAAAAAAAAAAAATAAATAAAATAAAATAAATAAATAAATAAATAAATAAAAGTGAAAGACCTAAATGATTGGAGAGATACTATAAATTGAAACATTCAATTTTGTCAGAAATTCAATTATTTAAAAATTGATCTATAGATTTAATAAAATACTAGCAGATGTTGTTATTGAAATTGACAAGTTGATTCTAAAATTTTTATGGAAATCAAAATGACCTAGAGTAACAAAAACAATCTTGATAAAGAGGAGGTTGGAAAACTCATATGACCAGATCTCAAGATTCATTGTAAATCCAGTAATTAAAAGTATGCTATTACACAAGGCCAGACAAATAGACCAATAGAACAAAACAGAGAATCCAGAAACGAACTGTATGTAAGTTCTGTTGGTCTATTTGTCTGTGTGTTTGTACCATGACCTCATTTACAACAAAGGCACCCTGCAGTGCAGTAGGGAAAGGATGGTCTTTGCCACAAATGGTAATGAGCAATTAGATATTCATATGGGAAAAAAAGTGATTCTTTTTTGAGACAAGGTCTCACTCTGTCTCCCAGGCTGGAGTGCTGTGGCATGATCGTGGCTCACTGTAACGTCTGCCTCCCAGGTTCAAGTGATTCTCATACCTCAGCCTCCTGAGTAGCTGGGATTACAGGCACCCACCACCATGCCTGGCTAATTTTTATATTTTTAGTAGAGATGGGGTTTCACCATGTTGGCCAGGCTGGTCTTGAACTCCTGACCTCATGTGATCCACCTGCCTTGGCCTCCCAAAGTGTTGGAATTACAGGCAGGAGCCACTGCGCCCAGCCAAAGAAAGTGAATCTTGATTCCTTCCTCACATCATACATAAAAATCAATTCCTGATGATGACAGGTTTAAAGGTTAAAATGAAACAATAAAACTTGTAGAAAAAATCAGGAGGATATGTTCACTATCTTGGGATATGCAAATGTTATATACAACATTAAAAGCACTGATAGAGGAAAAAATGTATAACTTGGACTTTACTAACATTAAGAAATTTTGTACATTAAAATGTACCAGTAAGAGTAAACCCATGTTTATAGAAACATTATTTACAATAGCCAAAAGGAAGAAACACCCCAAGTGTCAATGTGGTAGAGGAAGAAGACAGCCAAATACCGAGGCAGATAGGGAAGGGTCCCCGAGAACCTCTGACCTATCCTAGGTTACACAGATGTAATCACCAGATGTTTACACCAGACGTTTTGTGCAGATAAGGGAATCTGCACAGGAGGCTTGCCTGGGCACACCCAGAGCATACTGGAGGCCCACATGCCCTGGGGGAAAGGGGTGGAGCTTCCAGGAATTCACACGTTATGCAGGGGAGGAGCCTGGCCTCTTCAGCTTGTGTGTGGCAGCCCCAGGATTCAGTTGGTGAAGTGGAAACCTGCTTGCAGAGCTCCTCTATTTGCTGAGAGTTTTCCTTTCACTTAATAAATTCTGCCCTCCTCACCTTTCAGTGTGTCTGCATGCCT